CTCCGGCAATAGACCACCGGCCACCCCACATTATCTAACCGCCGCAAAACCTACAGCCACGAAAGTGTTGGGGGTCCCGCGGTTGGTCGGCCCTTCTACCAGCAGGCACTGGTGGTGACCGAGCTCTTTTGTCCCAGTAGCCTACAGGTTATGAGCCCGTTAAGCATGAGCCCCACTATGGTCAACATGCATGGATTCAATCCCAGAATGAACTTAAAAATTCCTAACAAATAACCTGGACATTTTAACAGTGTCAAGAGACATTTCAGGAGTGTGCTCTAGAAGTCCCATGAGCCCTAGGACTGACTGAGTCCACTATTAAAAAGGAGCCATTGTGGGGAGGCCACTGAAGGGAGCCACTGAGAGGAAGTACTGTACTCTGTGGTAGCTGGTCCGAGGGGGGGTGTTGGGGGTCCCGCGGTTGGTCGGCCCTTCTACCAGCAGGCGCTGGTGGTGATCGAGCTCTTTTGCCCCAGTAGCCTACAGCGGGACCCCCAACAGAAAGATAACCGGAGAGACCCCCCGCTATGCATCCCAACCGCATACACATCGAAGAACCCCTGGCAAGGTACCTCCCAGTGAAAGAAGTCAAGGCTCCGGTGACAGATGCCCTGCAGAAAAACATGTCAACTGAAGGTGTCAAGGTCATTGGGGTGGGAACAACAAAAATGGGTACATCATCTGCTTCCAGCGTGATATCTCCAAAGACGCCGCCAGCAAGAATGAGGGGGTGGCTCCAGGACCTGGGAAGCCGGAAAAAGATGGGCAGCCCCCGATTTGGAGTTGTGGTACACCGATCAACCCACGAGCGAAATCGAAATCGAGGACAAACGACAAAGCATCAAGAACTAAGCCGACGGACGATACGGGGAGTCAAGAGGTGCCCGGAGGGCGAGGATGCCTGGAGTCAAAGGGTGCATGGAGGCATAAGTCAGGACGTAAAACTGCTGCCAACGGTTTACTGAAACTGGCGTTGGCTAAAAGTTCACCGCCGACTGTCTGACCTCAATAATTATATATGTTGACCCCAAAAGGCCTGGAAAGAAGAATAACTCCTCCGTAAGACCTCCCTTCCGCAGATTCACCTACGGAAACCTTGTTATGACTTTTACTTCCTCTGGATACATTCTGAGATAGCTCGCCTTCCACTCGATTGAAGTTGCTCTGAGCTCAGGAGCAATCCTGAACAGCTCGGTGAACTCGATGTTTGACAGATAGCGTTGGTTCGCATTTCTCGCACACCTACACCCGACCCCCTCGCTGGGTTTTCCGGCCATGCGGGACCATGACTGATAGTAGTCCGTCATGATATTACGGGATGTTCACTCCACTGTGCGGAAAGAGTACACACAGAGGTGTGTAATTAATAATAACACATGGGAGAACGCCTCAATGATGTGCCAATTTGCCTCATGTGAGGGGGAACCTAATTGGAGGACATCATTGATAAATAGAGGCTTGAAAGCACCTAGTTAACTAAACAAAGATCAATCTACATTCAGGACTTCTTTGGTCTCTCTGCCTGCTGTTTCCTTCCATGCCCTTCGCGTTATGTGTTGATGTCAAAGAGGATACCAGTGACTGAGAGATGATTCGGAAATAAGGAAACATAGCTCAGCAAGCAAATTGAAAACCAAGACTACACACCACAACAGGAGGCCCGAGGCCTAAGTATCTGATACGCGCACTGTCAAACACAAAGAGCCTTTGGGAAAAAAGAGCGAATGTGCAGTTGGCCAGCGACAGCGATACAAATAAAAAAGGAATGTAATAGAAATGAAAGGGACTGCAATTATGAAGAAGACTTGAACCGCCATCATCAGGAATCATGACTTCTTGAGATACTCACGCACCCAGTCTGGGTATGTGACATTCCTCCCCATGGCAGTACAACTAAATCGACTGATGTTTGGAGGTGGATTGTGCTCAAAGCAGTTTCTAAACAAGCCAAATTCGTAAGCATCAAATGAATCAACATATTGTACATCCGGTTCGGCTTTAAATGGTAGAAGATCGCTCGCTGCTGCAGCGTCGGACACGGGGCATGTTGTAAAAGCAAGTTGTGTGAAAGCATCAAGTTGCTTGTCGGACATCCGCATGATTCCCTCATAAGGGAAATGGATCCAGGGAGCTCCAGGCTGCGTTCGGTTAAAATAAGGTACTTTTGAACAAGTTTACAGGATACACAGAAATACTGGCGAGGGATGGGGATTTATACTGACCTCACCTGGGGGATTCCCATGTTCAAAAACAACCACTCCCCCAAACAACCTTGTTTCCATCCAGTAGCCGACAAGCTCAATCGGCCCGTGCGGATACAAATAAGACTGGAGGTATTTTGGATGTCGGAAGTCCGGAAGCAGAGGTCGTTCGGGGCCTTGATGAGGTGTGTTCTGGTACTTGGACCGGTGAAGTTCTTCAAAAATGCTGACGGCAAGGTCATGGACCATCGAAACAACCAGGTCGAGGAGACCACGCTGAAAATCCGCAGACGATGGCTGCACAGTAGAGCGCTGGAACCTCTCGGCGGACTTGGAGACGGTTAGGAATGTATTTCATTAAGTGGACGATGGAATCAGGGCGACTGTGTCGGTTTACGGGAACACATAACATACAGATGCCTTTATTAGTACGTGTGACAGATCAAACTGTTCTCGTAGAGAGCGAAACATGGATATGGTGTCCTGGCTCGGACCAGTATACTTCGCTATCTCGTCATAGTCTTCACTAAGGCGGATGCGTCTGCATGCCCTCAAGGCTTTCATGGTCAGTCGGCCATCTATGAGCATGCCAAATGACTGCTCCGCAACCTCTGTCGCGAGAATGCAGTGAAGCGCCTGGAGCACCCGGCGAGCATGGCAATCGTCTAGATGGAAAAAGGGAACCGTCGTGGGTGGGGATGCGGAGGGGTCACCCATATTGACAAATGTCTAAGAGCACGAAGAGCCAGTCAGAGCGCAGACAGAGAAATGTTGAGAGGACAACAAGATGGACTCCTGAGAGATTGCAAATGATATAACATCGCCTGACGATCTTTGTTGTTGGACCGGACCGACTAATGTCACGCCTCACTTCAGAAAACCATACCGGAAAATCGACCGGGTTATGGTTGTTCCAGCATGCCATTCGGCGACACCGTCGCCGAATGTCACGCCCGTGGCCGCGCCAAGCCCTGTGGCCGCTCCAAGCGGCCCATCACTTCCCTTCGGATAATCCCATCCATCTGTAGCGGCGGCCGCCATGGTGGCGTTGTCCTAGCGATCGCTCCGCCTGCACGTGATCTCTTATGTTATTTGCGGAGCGAAGCGAAGCAAATTGTGTAGGATAGTTGAAGGTTGTATTGATAGATCTATCTACAAGAACATAATATAGTGGTGGGTCACGTGATCCAGTGGGATCACTAACCGCAACAGCCGTAACGGCCAACACCCCCTCTCAAGATAACAAGAATCACATACAAAAACACCCAAATCATCAAGATAGTCTGTCAAAACCAAATACAAATGTAAAATTAAACATTCTCAACTCTTACATCTGTAAGGCCTAGTAAAATCATGAATCATATAAATATCACAGTGTTTAGAGATTTAGTGAGTTTATTCACTATTATCTAAGTAGTGAGAATATATTCTAAATCAATGACTCTCTGATTCAACTGTCAATATGAAAAATAAAAATATATATTAATATGCTTACTTCAGACTGTAATAACTGTTATCTTTGTAAGATTTATAGTACTCTTATTATTAGTGAGAATCTGTATCAGAGATGTAGTAATGAAGTCAAGCTTAATTATGAAATTTCAGATTTATATTACTTCATAGACTCTCTTACTGAGAGTCACATATTCAGTCTCATTAAAACTTAGAGATATACAAGATTGTTTTACTGAATATCATGAAATCAGACTATCTGTAAGCTTAAAAATATAGCTGAATATTGATTTTCTATTATTATTCAAGAGACTGACTCAATCAGAATCTGAGTAGCTGAAGAGTAGGTAGAAATTATCAGAGAAATTAAGAGAAATGAAAGAATCAGTAGAAACAGATCTTTTATACAGATTATATCTGTAGAAAATACTCAGATTCATGATCTCTTTTAAATAATATATAATATATAATAGAGTCTTTTAACATTGAGATGTTAAATCAATGTTCTGTTAAGTAAGTAGTAAGATAGTATAAGTAATATCAGAATGTGTTTTAACTGTAAGATATTGTAAGTAATTCACATTATATTGATATCACTGAATTATGAAATCAGTCACTTTCTCAGATATAGAGAAATCATTAATACAGAATTCATTCTCTATTGATATTTTAATAACAGCTGTATTATCAAGATAGAAATCTTTAATAAGACATTTAATATATTGATAATATATTAAATTAATTTCTTTATCAGAATAATTGACTTTTATACTCAAATACTTAGTCAGTTGATATAGATTCTTGACTTTCAATTTCTCACTGAGTATACTTACTAGTCAATCAGCATTCTCAGAAACTTCATATATGATGTTAAGATTATTAATATAGATTATTATATAGAGATGACATCTGAATATATAATATCAGAGTGTCAGATTATAGACACTGATTGTAAATTCAAGATCACTTAACAGATGTAAGAGGCCTACGCCGAATAGATTAGTATAATATTGATAAGTCTTATATAACAAAGATAAAAATGTTAGAGAAGAAAAGAAAGAGAAAGTGTGAGAATCAGTAATTAAGATGAATATTTATACATATATGTGATGGTGTACACGGTGGAGCTTTAAGGCGGAAGAATATACATGCATTTGTAGTGACTGAGAATCAGCAATTGAGAATGACTGAGAATCAGAGCATACATATTAAAGAATGAAGTGATTGAAATCTGTAAAGTGTAATAAAATAGTCTATATAATTGATCAGACACAGCCTGTCACATTAGTCTTCTCTTTCAGAAGCAGTTCTCATCAGTCAAGAGTCACTGTTTCAGATAACACAGAACTCAGAGTTCAGATCAGTTAATTATAGCTGACTCATTTCACAAGATATTACTGACTGCAGTCACAGAGCCTCTTATTAAGAATATTCTCAATCTTTCACTCAAGCTCATTATCTTCTTCTATGATGTCTGATGACTGTCAGTCAGAAGTCAGTTGAGAAGAGAATGAATTGATGACAGTATGATGAAGCAAGCTTGTATGAAATACATCATGAATTTCTGATAATATGTTAAGACAGTAGTTATGACTATCTAGAACTTCTATCACTTTATACTTAGTATGACAGTAATCTAGTGTACAAGATGAACATGTGATTTGTATATTCTTAAGATTCAATCATATCAGATCTTCTATCTTATATTATTCAGTGATATCTCAGTGAACATTGATTTGATTCTCTTAATCTTATTTCACAGTTATCATGAAGATCTCTGCTTAATCACAGGCATCTCAGAGCTTTGTTACTATATTATCAGTGATCTAAATTAAACTGCAGAAATCTGGTGTGAACTGTGTAGTCTCTAGAAGATTCAACACTTTCATATAATATTCATGTATAAGAAAGAATGAGCTTACATCTGTTGAAACAGTATCTTGACTGTTGATAGCAACCTCTGCATGTAGAAGAAGATTATATCAATCATCTTATAAGTGATTGCAGAACTTACAGAGATAATTCTTCACAGTCTGAATTATCTATTCTGATGTATCATCAGTCTTAGAGTGATAGACAGATGATAGATAGTGTGTAATCTTGAGAACTTGACAGATTCTTGTTCATAGAGTGCTTACAAATTGACAGTCTTAATCTGATACTATAGATCTCAGTAATTCATATATTTGATAGAACAGGCTCTGTAGAAAAGCTTCAGCAACTTGTTCAGTATTTATCTTATTACAAGATTTCAATATTACATCTTTGCTCAGTTGATTCACAATGATCAGAATGTTTCTATAACTCTTACTCTTAAATAAATTGATAGTAAAGTCAATTACTACATCTCATCAGATTCTATTAAAGATATTGAGTGATTTTAATAGATCTTTTCTACAGTTCTTTCATGAGATAATAGAAGAACAGTGATTGTAGTTTCAGACAAAGCATCTAATGCTGTTTAATATCTCAGATCAGTAGAACTCTTGAGAGATCATTCTATACAGTTATTTATGACCTGAATAATCTGTTATATACAAATCATGCATCTCTTGTATTATCTGAGTGCATAAGAGTTCAGAGTGAGAGACTCAGTGTCATTCACAGAATTGTAGAGTATTATTATCATCAATTGAACATTCTGAGATATTAATTCTAATACATAGTTCTGGAGAAAATCAGAGTGCTTCTTGATATACTGTGTCAGTGAGAGACTGAAGAAGTTCATCTATCTGAGCTGCTGTATGTCACAGTTCATTCAGTGTAGAAGAAGTGAAGATATCAATGATAGTTCTAACTGGAGAAGTATGTATAGTACTATGAACTGTTTCATCTTGATTAACTAGTATCTTCAGATTCAAGACCTGATGCTCTTGATTCATTTAGTGAGTATCTATTATATCAGATAATATATCTTACTCTCATTATAAGAGAGCATCTGTCATTGAGTTCTGACTATCAGAATGATAGTGTATTGTAAAATGAAAGCAGCTTAAGAACTCAGATTATCACATCTGTCATTCAGTGAGTTTACAGATAGTTATGAAGTATTTGAGATTCTTATAATCTGTGACTATCTTAAATTCAGAGATACTTCAGAGTTCAGAGTCTCATTCTTCTAAATAGTGTATAATTGTGAGAAGTTTCTTATCATAGATCTTATAATTGTATTCAGTGAGACTCAGTTTCTTAGATATGAAAACATATAATTATAGAACATCTTCATCATTATATTATAATATCACTTCTTCTATTATATAGTCAGAGAAATCAGCTTCAACAACTGTTTTACAATCAGAATCAAATATTATCAGTAGAGAAGTATTAATGAAAATCTTCTTTATCTGCATAAATGCAGCTTCAGTATTCACTGATTATTAAAATACTGAGTCTTTCTTAGTAAGATCAGTAAGTGATCTTATAATATCTGAGAAGTTTTTTATAAATCACTGATAGAAGTTAGCAAATCTAATGAAGCTTCATACATCTTTTACAGTATACAGAGCTTCTCATTCAAGAATAGCAGAGACTTTCTCAGAATTCATTTGAATTTCCTTATCAGCTTCTATAATAAAACTCAGATACTTGATACTCTTGACTTCAAAATCACACTTATCAATATCTATCAGTAGTTCTGCTTCTTATAGCTGTTATAATATCTTTCACATATACTCTTAATATTCTTTTCTGAATTCATCAGTGAAGATAAGAATGTCATCTAGATAAGCAGATACAAACTTATTAAGAAAATCTCAGAGTACTCAGTTGATATACTTCTGAAATGTACTGAGAGTGTTAGCTAGTTCAAAGAGTGTGACTATTCATTCAAAGAGATTATAACATGTTTGAAATGCTGTAAGTCATTCATCTTCTTCAGTGATATAAATCTTATGAAATACAGTAATGATATCTAGTTTTATAAATCATTAAGCTTATCTGATCTGTGCTAGAGTTTCATTGATAAGAGATAAGAAATATCAATCTTTCTTTATCAATCTGTTCAGATCTCAGTAGTTCACACAGAATCAGAGTTCTTTATCTGATTTCTTTGCAAAGAGAATAGAAGCTGTAGTGAAAGAGTTACTAATACATATAAATTCTTTATTTATCAGATCATTGAGTGTCTTTTAAAGAAGAAGAAGTGCATCTCAGAATATATTATAAAGAGAGCTTCATAATAATTCAGAGTTCTTATCATTCTTTTTCTCTAACTTAATACTGTGATTCACTCTGAAATCTTATAAGAGAAGTATGTTTATAATATTATCTTATTAAAAGATATATAGATATTTATGATATTATTAAGAGAGTTTTATATGAGAATCTGTTATTATAATATGAAATAATTTTTCTAGAGTCTTTTTAATATCAGTCAGACTGATGAAATAGATTGATATATAATTCTGCTATCAGTAATTCTTTCAGCAACTTCTCTTTCTGAGTATTTTATAGATATTGACATATATCTGTGTCAGATCAATAGTCTTGTGAATATTATCTTTGTGAATTCTATCATTGTTAGAGAATATCAAGCTTCTGTTTTAAGCATTTAATAAGATACCTTATTCAGATAGTCAGACAAGTTCTAA